AAATGATTGCACTGCTTTAAAGCCCTTTGACCTTTAATAATGTGTGGATGCACTGTGATGTGCTACGCATTCTCCAAGGCGCCTAGGCATGCTTCTGATCAGGTGGTCAATGTCCTCCTGTGGTATCTCATTCCAGGCAACCACCAACTCCTCTCGAAGTGCTTCTAGAGTCTGAGGAGGACGTTGCAAATTGATCAATCTCCTACCCATCATATCCCACACGTGCTCAATTGGGGATAAGTCGGGAGATCTTGGTGGCCATGGTAACAATGTGACATCATTATGTTGAAAGAAGTCTATTGTGACTCTTGCAACATGTGGTCGGGCATTATCTTGTTGGAAAGTTGGATCTGCCAGGGTGTCAAGATAGGGTAAAAGATGGGGTTCTAGAACTTCGTGGATATAACGCTGCGCGTTCATATTACCTCTGATGAAGATTAAAGGTGACCTGGAACCATAAGCTATAGCACCCCAAACCATAACTCCAACAGTGTGATGAACATGTCTTTCAACAAAAAACTGTGCATTCCTCCTTTCACCACGTCGCCTTCTAACCCTGGCAAGACTATCGTGCATGCCTAAACAAAATCGAGACTCGTCACTAAAGACAATACTGTTCCATTCCTGATCCCAGAGTGGCCGTTGTCTGCACCACTCAAGGCGATTACGTCGGTGTTCTCGAGTTAAAGGGAGGACCCAGTGTGGCCGGTATGAAAACAAGCCAAAACTTCTCATTCGTCGGTAAACACTTCGCATGCCAATACGTCTTCCGTGTTCTGCAAACCATTCATTTGCAATGGACCTGGTAGTGGAGAAACGGTCCCTTAAGACCAATAATCTTAGGCGGCGATCTTCACAAAAGAAAGTCCAGCTTCCCGAAGTCCCACTATACGGCCCTATCAAACTCACTAAGTTGACGAAATCGTACAGGTCTCCGTACTCTAGGCATCGTAACCGATCGTAAAGGATGTCAAGAACCAAAATCCGCCAACGTTGATTCTTTACTACAGCTGAAATATTCATTTTTAGGGCGTTAGCGAATTAAAAAAAGCAGTATAAAAACCGGAATGTCCAACTGATAAGGCTGAAAATTGTTTCACTTGTTATTTACAGTAAGATAAATACATTCACCAACTTTTATTAAAATAAAACCATTTAAACTGGGTGTTCGGATTTATATGTCGTTTAGTATACTTACTGATATAATAAAAATGTTAAATTGATGATAAATCCATGCAACTTAGCATCAATGGCTCAGGACATGAATTTCGAAATTTGCTGCGAAATACCCATATATTTCTTTATATTTTTGAATCAACAACTTTTTAGAGAGTGACTTAAAAGGTGAAAGCATTGTTTAACGTATTCTACCTAAAGATAGCCAACCTAATGGTATATTCGCGCACACAAAAAAAAATCACCGAGATAAAATGAGATACCATGGCGGCGTCTAAGAGAACTTGTGACAGCTGTTTCACTATTTAGTTTACCGGGTATTTCAAATTCGGATAGAGACACGAAGTCTGTTAAAGTTGCACGTTTAGATGCCTCCAGCATCCGGTATCTGAAGCTCAATTTTCACCGCTTCTAGGGACATTTTTTGGGGCCGGGAGTGAACTCTAGGTATGTATGGGGTGTTTTCGACCACAAGTAACGTCAAGAAATACATGGAAAAGCTTGTTCCAGAATGTGGAAAAGCTTGTTCCAGCATCTGGCATCCAGAACTCATTTTCCACCTTTTCTAGGGACTGTTTTTGGGCGCGGGGGTGAACTCTAGGGGTGTAGGAATCTTTCGACCACAAATTCAGACGTAGCGTCGAAAAACACATAAAAATAGCATGATCGAGCATCTGGCATCCAAACAAGTTTTTCACTCCTTTTAGCGACAGTTTTTGGGCTCGGGGGTGAACTCTAGGGGTGTAAGAATCTTTCGACCACAAATTCAGACGCAGCGTCGAAAAACACATGCAATTAGCATGATCCAGCATCTGGCATCCGAAATAAGATTCGACGCTTTGGGCGCGATTGTAGATTCTTGTCGTCTAACTTTACCGATCCAGGATTGGGATTCAGCGTCGAAAATTATTTAGGAATATAATTTTGGTGGGACTGTTTTATATATCTATAATGCTATTCATTAAAAAATTTCAATCATCATTTTCAAATGTGACTATCCAATTAACCACCAAGATAGTGTGGTATCTCATTGAATTATTATTTATTATTATAGATAACAAATTTTCTATTTTAGTTTGTTATAAAAGATACGATCTTATGCTTTACGACTAGTACAATAGATATTTACACATTTTAAGTACCCAGGTGCATTGTTGTAGTTGACAGACAATATTGTTAGAACGTAGGATTAGCATTTGATAACAGCACTAGCACTTCATGAATTTACTAAGGCTTCCGATAGTCTAAATCCTCGTGTGCTACTTGCTAAATGTAAATTTTACGGTTTTTTTCGATTCTTCTATTAATATGATGCGTGGTTTTTATCTAATCACTCTCAAAGAGTACTACGAGCCCCTTCCCACTTCAGTTGGCCCAACTATTGAAATCTTATCAAACACAAATAATAAAAATGTATCATGGTGTTGTAGGTTTAAAATATTAACAATGAATATTTTGATAATATATAGTAGAAAACACCAACTTTATCACTCCCTAATCAAATTTGCAGCACAAAAATAACACATGTTGCAATTACAGCATATCAACCTATTTTGATTTCGATTCAAAATAAGTCTATAACGCATAGGTGGCTGTGAAAATAAAAGCCATGACAATTGTTTTTATTAATCACAGCTGTCAGAATACGTTTAAAATAGTTTTGGGTAGTTAAGGTTTTCAAAATGGGTAGAGGAAAGGTTATTAGTGAGAAAATTCGGTTACTGATAATTAAATTTTTTAATTCTGGGAAATCAAACTCTGAAATTGCAACTTTGTTAGACTTATCGCGGTACAGTGTGAGAAATATTGTTAGAAGATATAATGTAACTGGTTCAGTTAATATTAAGCCACGATATGTGAAAAAAAATAATATCACAAATGCCGACCGAAGAGCATTAAGAAGAATAATCGTGAAAAACAGGCATGCCGATTATTTACAATTAAGTGCTCTGTGGAGTGACGCTATTGGAAGGAGAATTTCGACGTCCACATCTCATAGAGAGGCCCAGAAACTGGGATTTAGCACTTGCAAGGTAAATGTTCTTATAAAAAAAAAGTGAAGTAAAAACCCTAGATTTGCACAACTTGTTTATAGGCCAAAGAAAAGCCACCAATTAACTCCACTGCAAAAGAAAAATCGGCTTAGATAGGCTAAAGAACATAGACAATGGACACCTCAACAATGGCGTGCAATACAATGGAGTGATGAGGCCCGATTCGAAGTTTGTGTTGGTGACAGTCGCAGTAGAGTTATTCGCAAAAAAAATGAAGCATTCCATGTTGACTGTCTGAAGAGAAAAGTGAAATTTCCAGCAACCATTATGGTCTGGGGCAGTATGTCGTCAAAACGAGTAGGAAAACTTCATTTTATTGATGGAAATGTGGATACAAACAAATATTTGGCAATTTTAGAAGAATCGCTTTTACCAATGATCGAAGAATGTTTGACATCCGGCCAAGATTTTGTGTTTCAGCAAGATGGTGCAGCATGCCATACCTCAAAAAAGGCTATAAAATGGATGGAACAAAATATTGTACCACTTTCTAGCAGTCCAGATCTGTCACCTAGTGAAACTTTGTGGCACGAGATGAAAAAGGTTCTACGACAACATCCTGCTCGTACAATCACCGAACTGAGACAAAAGTTTCAAGAAATATGGGATTGTTCTACACCAAATTTTTGCCAAAATTTGGTTAACACTATGCCCCAAAGAATTTCAGTCGTAATAAAAAATAAAGGTGATGTTACCCAATGGTAATCTTTCAATTGTTGCTTTGTTAACTTCGCGCATTTATTCGCACATTGCTTATTTGTTCAGATGTTCTATTAGTTATAGGTCTAAGTGCTTTCAAATATGTATTTTTTACGACTAGAGTGTATATAAATACAATACAAAATAAATTGTTTTAGAAGTAAATTGTTTCGTCATGTTTAGTTTATAAAGGCATATTTTGGTACAAATCTTGAAGTGGGCCAAGTGGGAAGGGGCTCGTATTAATATGGATGTGTCGCCTAAATATGTCATTTCATCTGGAGTACCTCAAAGTTCTGTACTCGGACCATTATTATTCAATTTATGTACTGCCTTGCACTCATTCGTTAGACGTTGTAGTATCCAATCTTTTGCTGATGACTCTTAAATGTATAACCACCTCCATAGTAGCAACACTCAAATCGCTGAATATAGAATGAATGAGGATATAAACTCAATCAATTGATATGCACAAAATCATAACCTCAAAATTATTTTTTCACCTAAACCTTTTAGGAATCATGTCAAAAACAACTTTAATGTTAGTTTAGATAGTGCTACTGTCGAAATTAATAAGGCAGTCAAAAACTTGGGAATTCTTTTTGATGAGTGTCTCAAGTTCATAGCTCGTGTAAACAGAATTCCTAAAATCTGCATTCTGATCTTACGTCAGTTATATCTGAATAAACAAATTCTCGATTATCAAACTCAGAAAATCTTATGATAATCATTAATTGTATCCAAAATTACTTACTGTAATATAGTTTACAATTCATTTTTAGATACTATATCTGCCACATTTACAAGAAGTTCATGTTGCAGATTAATAAATAATTTGAGAAAATATGACCAAATAAGCAGTTCTTGAGACTTATTATTAACTAACACTCATAAGCTCTTGCTTACTTCGATTCGCTCATTTCTAAAGAACGAAAAAAGAAATATGGTTTACTCAGACACTCACCATGCAACTCCATAAAACGGCATTCTGCCATAAGTGCTTCACATACAACGCGGTTAAACTTTATGATGAAGTACATCAGGCATTAAAATCACTAACTTACCATAAACTTAAGAAACAAATCAAGTAATTTATTTTAAAAAAGTACTTAACATCGTAGTTCCTCACTTCCTTTTCGGTGTACGTTCACATGTATACATAAATTTTCATTATCTACTGTGACTACAACATTATATACTTTTACATGTTCATAATTGTTATTTTATTTTTTCGTACTTTTCAAGGTTAAAAGGCAGAATAGCTTCACTAAACTTCGCGCTCAGTAAAAGAAATTTACTGTTACTATTACTGTAAAAAAATATTTGAATTTTCAGGTACTATAGTGAGTAACAGCATCAGTGGTGCCTTGATCAACGCTACGAATGACTGGGCTTCAGTATTCTACCTATTTGGAAGCCTTGGGATTCTATGGTTCATAATGTGGGTGCTGCTTTGTTATTCAGATCCTGATTCACACCCTTTCATCAGTGACAAGGAAAAAATGTACCTTAAGAAAGAATTAGGTAATTAAAAAAAGCATTAAGTACTAAAGCAAACATGTCATCCCGTTCTTAGCCACGCAAGATACACTATATCGTGGTACCGAAAAGGAAGAGAGCTCATCGCACGTTATTGCATGCGCTTTCGTCGCTTTGCGCCGTAAATAAGGGGATGACGCGCTGACCAGTGCCATGCGATATGTTTCGCTGCTCACTTCCTTTTCGGTACTCTGAGCTGAACATTATAAATTAATGCCTACGGTTTGGAATATTTCCGTCGGTCTACCTCAGATGTTTTTCCTAAGTCTAGTGAATCAAATCACCCAAAACCTTCATGAGAAAACTCTATCTATTTGTGTGGTAAAGGATTTCAGACAAATTAGGTTTTCGTAGAAATATATGTTCTTTAACGCAAAGTTATTTGTCAAAAAGGTCCCAACTAGTGAAACTATAAAAATCAGACAGTAAAAAAATGTTTGTCAAATGTGGTGTACCTCAGGGTTCAGTGTTAGGCCCTCCTTTATTTAATATCTATTTGAATGATATATTCAAAATTAACTGTGTAGGTACAAAAGGCAATGTTGCCGATGATACGGCCTTACTATATAAACGGAATGGTATTGTGAATGACTATTGTAATTTGTTTAACACTAGAGAAAATCAACCGTGAACTTTGGAAAAACGCATTTCCTATCGTTCACATCATATGCAAGACATCTACCCGATTATTCAAATATCTCCTTTAAAGTAACAATACAAATTTAAAAATTGACAGAGTGGGTAATATCAAGAATTTAGGATTTTTTTTATACCTACATTTCAGGTGGGACATTCATGCAACCTATATTTCAAAGAAAATAAGATTTGTTACAGACAAAATAAATTCCTCACATGCATATTGACTGAAAATTATATACGTACTATTATATAGCATGCCTTATTTAAACGATATAGAAGTTTTACAGAGAACTGTTTTAAAAGCTATGTTCGTAAAACCAAAATTATATTCAACACATGATTTATACAAGGAAACAAAGTTGTTTTATATGAAGCACCCGTATTTCTTACATCCTATCAGCCATTATCACAAAGTTGTCAGTGAACGCGATAATTGCGATAAATGCGCTTAAGCCTCTTAATACCATAATGAAGCGATCTTTTCTCTACTTGGCTTGAAAATTATTCGAACGCGTACCCAAAGATTTATAAACATTTCAAAATATACATAATTTAGCAAAGAATTCATTTAAACGGATATATACTAAGTGACATATAAATCCGAACACCCAGTTTAAATGGTTTTATTTTAATAAAATTTTGTATAAGTACTTAATGAAGCATAATAAGTAAATGATAAAAATTTCAAAATGATTGCACTCCTTTAAAGCCCTTTGACCTTTAATAATGTGTGGATGCACCCTGATGTGCTACGCATTCTCCAACGCGCCTAGGCATGCTTCTGATCAGGTGGTCAATGTCCTCCTGTGGTATCTCATTCCAGGCAAGCACCAACTCCTCTCGAAGTGCTTCTAGAGTCTGAGGAGGACGTTGCAAATTGAGCAATCTCCTACCCATCATATCCCACACGGGCTCAATTGGGGATAAGTCGGGAGATCTTGCAACATGTGGTCGGGCATTATCTTGTTGGAAAGTTGGATCTGCCAGGGTGTCAAGAAAGGGTAAAAGATGGGGTTCTAGAACTTCGTGGATATAACGCTGCGCGTTCTTGTTACCTCTGATGAAGATTAAAGGTGACCTGGAACCATAAGCTATAGCACCCCAAACCATAACTCCAACAGTGTGATGAACATGTCTTTCTACAAAAAACTGTGGATTCCTCCTTTCACCACGTCGCCTTCTAACCATGGCACGACCATCGTGCATGCCTAAACAAAATCGAGACTCGTCACTAAAGACAATACGGTTCCATTCCTGATCCCAGAGTGACCGTTGTCTGCACCACTCAAGGCGATTACGTCGGTGTTCTCGAGTTAAAGGGAGGACCCAGTGTGGCCGGTATGAAAACAAGCCAAAACTTCTCATTCGTCAGTAAACACTTCGCTTGCCAATAGGTCTTCCGTGTTCTGCAAACCATTCATTTGCAATGGACCTGATAGTGGAGAAACGGTCCCTTAAGGCCAATAATCTTAGGCGGCGATCTTCACGGTCTGTTGTTCTACGGCGGCGTCCAGTGCCCCTTGCTCTTTGCGTACGGCCTTCTCGAAGCCATGCCTGACAACACCTAACCACTGTGTCTACACTTCTTTGCACTCTAACTGCAATTGCCCGAAAAGAAAGTCCAGCTTCCCGAAGTCCCACTATACGGCCCCTATCAAACTCACTAAGTTGCCGAAATCGTACAGGTCTCCGTACTCTAGGCATCGTAACCGATCGTAAAGGATGTCAAGAACCAAAATCCGCCAACGTTGATTCTTTACTGCGGCTGAAATATTCATTTTTAGAGCGTTAGTGAATTAAAAAAAGCAGTATAAAAACCGGAATGCTCAACTGATAAGGCTGAAAATTTTTTCACTTGTTATTTACAGTAAGATAAATACATTCACCAACTTTTATTAAAATAAAACCATTTAAACTGGGTGTTCGGATTTATATGTCACTTAGTATATTATCGCTGTTAAATTGTGGAATAAATTATCATCTACTACCTCTAGTATAATTATAAGGATATTTTTTCTAAGTGTATTTGATCAAATTCCAGAAAACGTCCATAGGGAGTCCCCGGCCACCCCTTGGCGGAGCATCTGGACCTCGACACCGCTCTGGGCACTAGTAGCTGCCCAAATCGGCCACGACTGGGGCTTCTTCACCATGGTCACCGACCTTCCCAAATACATGAGCGACGTGTTAAAGTTCGACGTGAAAGAGAACGGAATTTGGTCATCGGTGCCCTACGTGGTTATGTGGTTGATCTCCATGAGCTCTGGGTGGTTGTGCGATTGGTTGATCACCCGTGGGTACATGAAAATCACTTTTGCCAGAAAGTTCTTTACTACAGTTGGTAAGTTCACTGAATCCATCTATTCGTTATCTGAAACGTGCTTTACCTCCTTTATCACTGATTTGTTGTATCCAAATATAATTACAATTTTACCCTCAAAACTACTTCCTTCGGAAGCCATACAGCGCTGAAAGCGGTTCTTCCACTTCTCATAATAGTGCCTTCATTAATGCACGTGATCCGATGGTATAAGAAAAAAACTTACCGCTGAAGATTAAAACCCCATAAGAAAATGGACGGGGTAGCACCCAAACCAAAACAACTAGAGATAAGGTACTATAGGAAGGGGCACTACTCCACAAAGTGGTGTTCGGCACCTAATATCCGAGAATCTGGAGGTTAAGCAACTGGCGCTCACCCCACAATCTCAGGAGGAAAGTGACTGACAAGAAACACCTAACTTTATAAAGAAAGATTCATGGCACTGAGTACAGCCTTCAGATGGTCGGTTACAGCCGTTTGAATGCCTTCGACTGTTCCAAAATGAGTTCCCTTGAGGTGGTTTTCCATCTTCGGGAAGAAAAAAGTTCACAAGGACTCAAGTCAGGCGACTGAGGAGACTGAGGATCCACAGGAATGTTTTGGTATAAGAAAAAAAACTTACCGCTGAAGATTAAAATCCCACAAGAAAATGGACGGGGTAGCACCCAAACCAAAACAACTAGACGTAAGGTACTATATGAAGGGGCACTACTTCACAATCTGGTGTTCGGCACCTGATATCCCAGAAACTGGAGGTTAATCAACTGGCGCTCACACCACAATCTCAGGAGGAAAGTGACTGACAAGAAACACCTAACTTTATAAAGAAGGATTCATGGCACTGAGTACTGGAATAGCCTTCAGCTGGTCGGTTACAGCCGTTTGAATGTCTTCGACTGTTCCAAAATGAGTTCCCTTGAGGTGATTTTCCATCTTCGGGAAGAAAAAAGTTCACAAGGACTCAAGTCAGGCGACTGAGGAGACTGAGGAGCCACATGAATGTTTTTACTGGCCGAAAGCCCGTTTATTGACCTTGCTGTTTGATAAGGAGCATTATCGTGATGTAACACCCACTTGTTCTTGATCTGATGGGCGGTGGTGTGAGTCAAATTTGATTCTTCCCTCGTCATTCTGACTGTCAACTGACGATCTGAACGCGCAAGATCCCGGATTCTGTTGATATTTTCATCGATTCTTGAAGATGAAGGCCTTCCGCTTCGTTGTACATCTTCAATCGACCCTCTCCCTTCTGAAAATGCTTTAACCAACCGAAAATCCTCCGCTCTTGTCAAAACACTCTCCGTAGACCGGTTTAGCAAGAGTTTCCGTTGCACTATGCCCAAGTCCGAAGCAAAACCTGATAGCACAAGAAAACAGAAAAAAATTCACAAAAAAATCGCTACGGATAACCTAATGACTCGAGCGAGTTCAAACTTGTACTAGAGGCGGTTCACATGTCCCCCTATCTTGCCTCCAGCGTTGCCAAATCCAACGCTACGTTGCCAGTCTCAACGCTTAATTTACAGAGCCCATATGTATCTTTACATCATACGGCTAATAATTCTATTCTATTCTGTTTACTGTTGACAATACAAAAATGAAGGATCCTAGTTAACTTTTATTGTTTTTTCTAGCATCCCTCGGACCAGCTCTCTTCATAATGATCGCCTCGTACAGCGGGTGCGACAGATACCTCACCGTGGCGATGTTCACCATAGCGATGGGTTTCATGGGTACCTTCTACTGTGGCATGAAGGTGAACGCATTGGACCTTTCACCAAACTATGCTGGAACGCTCATGGCTATAGTGAATGGCATTGGGGCGATCACAGGAATTTTCACGCCATACGTTGTAGGTGCACTCACCGAAAATGTAAGTATCTATTAGAGGTGTTGAAAAAGTAATTATTCGTTACTCTAGTACTCGTTACCCACAGATATCCGAAGTAACGAGTACCAATCCGAGCACGAAATGATTACCTAGATTACTCTGCCATCTTAGACACTGCCGCTCATGCATCAGGGTTGCCAGACACCCCACATTCGGGTGAAAACCTGGAAACTCCAGATTTAAAAAAATTGTATGTCCGAAAATCAAAAAAAATTGAGTTTGCCTATTTACAGCGTGAATCAAATTCGCTCTTACTGTTGTGATCTTGAAGACCTGAAAATGGATAACAAGTTGATTGGACTGGAACAAAGTTCGGTAGTATTATGAGCCAGAAAAGCGACAACGAGGTAACAGCACTGTACACGAAAACCAAAATAATAAAAATTATGTCAACTTGAGTCGTGCTTACTTGTCCCACATTTTGCTAAAAATTCATAATTCAGTATGACCACCAACAGTATGTGTAAACTAAGCTTCACGTAGATTTTTTTATACCGGTACATGCTTCTAAAAGTTACTTTCTGAATTTCCTTAAGCCCATATTCGGATCATCTCACTAAAAGACATGCTTCACACCCTATCTTATAATAACCTATCTCATTTTGCATAAAGTTTAAAGATACGATGTTTGCATTAAACACAACAGATTTGAATAAACTATGCTAGAAAATTTTGCAAATTTTAAGGTTGTCCATTTTCTTACAAGATTCGACACACTTTGCCAAATCTTTATACTCATACTACTCAAAGTATGATTACTTTGTAAAAGAGTAATGATTCTTAACGAATACTCCGAAGTAACGGGAATCAACATCACTAGTATCTATCAGGGGCGCCTGGATGGTAGGGATGGACGGTTATTGATAAGAAATCGGTTATAGGGTAGCCGGTTATTATATCAATAGCTGTAACAGAACCAAATTTAAACGGTTATACAGTTAACCCGAAAATAATCTTTATTTTTGTCCATCAACAATTTAAAGTGTCTGCCCCAGACCATAATGGAAGCTGAAAATTACACTTTTCTCTTCAGACAGTCAACATGGAATGGTTCATTTTTTTTGCGAATAACTCTACTGCGACTGTCACCAACACAAACTTCGTATCGGGCCTCATCACTCCATTGAATTGCACACCATTGTTGAGATGTACATTGTCTATGTTCTTTAGCCCATCTAAGCCGATTTTTGCTTTTGCAGTGGAGTTAATAGTGGCTTTTCTTTGGCCTATAAACAAGTGGTGCAAATTTAGGGTTTTTACTTCACTTTTTTTTTATAAGAAAACTTACCTTGCAAGTGCTAAATCCCAGTTTGTGGGCCTCTCTATGAGTTGTGGACCTCGAAATTCTCCTTCCAACAGCGTCTCTCCACAGACCACTTAATTGTAAATAACTGGCACGCCTGTTTTTCACGATTATTCTTCTTAATGCTCTTCGGTCGGCATTTGTGATCTTACTTTTTTTCACATATCGTGGCTTAATATTAACTGAATCAGTTACGTTATATCTTCTAACAATATTTCTCACACTGTACCGCGATAAGTCTAACAAAGTTGCAATTTCTGAGTTTGATTTCCCAGAATTAAAAAATTTGATTATCAGTAACCGAATTTTCTCACTAATAACCTTTCCTCTACCCATTTTGAAAACCTTAACTACCCAAAACTATTTTAAACGTATTCTGACAGCTGTGATTAATAAAAACAATTGTCATGGCTTTTATTTTTCACAGCCACCTACGCGTTATAGACTTATTTTGCATTGAAATGAAAATAGGTTGATATGCTGTAATTGCAACATGTGTTATTTTTATGCTGCAAATTTGATTAGGGAGTGGTAAAGTTGGCGTTTTCTACTATTTATTATCAAAATATTCATTGTTAATATTTTAAACCTATAACACCCTGCTACATTTTTATTATTTGTGTTTGATAGGAAAAAAGCTAAGATTTCAATAGTTGGGCCAACTGAAGTGGGAAGGGGCTCGTATTTGCCGCAAAACTTAAATAAAAATCAATAAATCTATTTTTCCAGCATACCTTGAAGCAGTGGCGGGTCGTTTTCTGGATCACCTTTGCGGTTTTTGTGGTGACAAATATCATTTACACCTGTTACGGTAGCGGCGAAGAGCAGTCGTGGAACAACAAGGAAAAGAACAGGGACGAGAAAGGAAAAGACCTTAGCTAAATATTTTTTTCCACTATGTGATAGTTGTTGTAAATCAAGCCGTCTTTATTTGTGATATGATCCTATGATCAAATTGTTTAGAAGCTAAGATGTACAGTATTACGATACTTCTAGTAAAATTAACCATTAAGCAAATGCGTCTCAATCCGTATTCAGTGTCGCTATGAAATAAGTAAAATCAATGCAAATTGAAAATGTGTTCTCTTTCCAGGAAAATTCATATCCCGCCTAGAATTTATCGGAATTTAATGTAATGTAATTTCCAAAAATGATGAGACCTGTCACTATATAGAATTTACTTATTTCTAACCGATCCTGTATACCTAGTATGTATTTTTTATATCCTATTTGAACTACTTACAGAACAAATATACTAAGAGTGTGCCTTTTACTATTAAAAATATGTAGTAAATTATATTATATTTAAATTTATATTATATATGAATTATTTTATTGTAAATTTATGGATTGACTATAGGAATGTGTCATATATTATATATGGCAATAGCATGTCTGCTGATATACAGGGTGAGTTTTTAATGAAGCCTTGGCCGGTAACACCGTTATTACTCTTGATATCTAATAAAGTTTAATGCAAAATTTAGAAAATGTTTGTGCTACAGGGTGATTTATAACTAAGTGGTGACTCAAACATACATTTTTTAATGCCCTCTAGCTCTAGCTATAACAGTAGAGAAAGAGCGAGTTGTGAAACAGATTGTCCAATGTTTCAACAATTTTAGAATGCTTCGTTTAGAAGGGCCTACTCAAATCTGCAATAAAATGTAAGGTATTCCTTTCAAAAAATGTTTGCTTGGGTAACCCTGTAGAGATAAAAATATTCTCCAATTCGATAGCATTCTGTTGGCTACATTTTTTTCGATGAACTTTTTTAGATGCAACCACTAAAAACTCACCCTGTATAACAGAATAGCGTAATTATAGGCGAGTAAAAGTAGGTAAGGGTGAGAATAATATAATATACTGTGATTTACCCCAATCATTGCAACAATTATTTGCTATCACAAGTTAAAGTTTTGTTTAGCAGCATAAGCTGTCTGATTTTTTTGTTTTATGGGGGCCATATTACAAATGTTTGGTGAGGTAAAAGTATATCATGTAGCTAGTTCCTTTATTATTGTGATTATAATGTTTATGATCACACTAATGTAACTGATATTACATCACCATTTCTTATAGTTAGTATGTGAGTTCTTGATCCATCCTTTAATAAAATTTATTATATGTTATTAGTGTAATTTTTTCAACCTCTTGCTGGTCCAATGCTTGACTATCGAACAGTACGTATGAAGTTTTCTAAAAGCCTATTTTTAAACGGTTCAAGTTAGCAGGCTGAATCGGGATAAAAAAAACTGATGAACAAATTCTATTTCCCAGTGTAAAATTAACAGTTAAAATTTCAACATGGCGATTGGACGTCATTTTGGATCATTTTTCAAACGATGGACGATCACATAGATTCTTCCAAAAGAAGAAGATCGATATAACATGCGATAACAATTTAATGATTAATATTTTGAGGGTTGAAAAGTAGTCGTGAGGATCTTCAAAACAAAGTATCATTCTACTCCTTATTCCATTTAAAAAATATTACAAGATAATGCTCAGCCGCTATTTTGAAGTTGTCTGCTACTTTTACGCTGAAATATAGTATTCTTGCATCAATTTCATCCAGAATATGTCTTAATTATGACATAACTTGGATATTTCAGCGAGCAATTTTGTTTTCCGAGAATCGTTTTCGTAGGCTTTTCTTAGAATACCCAAATTGAGCATTAAAGATTTCCGTATACAGGTCGATTAAGGGTTAATTTTGAAAATTGGAATATAATTATCATTTTGCAACTATGCTAAGCAGGAGGTACGAATTCCAAGACATATGAGCTTTTGAATAGTAACTTACATAAATCGTAAACCAACCTGGTTTAAACCATAGTTTACCTCTGAAAAAGCTTCTGAGAATAATGAATGGCGTTAAAAAATTCAGTAAAACATACCTGACTATATCTCCGACAATTAAGCAAACCAAATGCTGATACAAAAATTGACGATTCAGTATGATTAACATAAATGGTTTTATTTCTTTTTAAATACTGAGATTAGGTTAAATTTTATATGCCTGAAATTTTGAAAATTAATCAGCAATTATTAAAACTGTCAGCGCTACTGTCTGAATGTGATTATTTGCATACAAAGGCTTATCGAATACGTGAAACGTTTTACAAAAACCAATAAAGGCTATAGTCCACATTATATAAGAAAATTGCCTCCAAAGATGTCCAAATCCAAATCAATCCAAATTTTCAGATCTAACCTCAAAAGCGTGTTTTTCGAAAATAATTTTATGCGCTCAAAAAATTTCGACCTATGCTTCATTGTTATATCCTACATACCCGTGATTTTTTATAGATTTGTGGAACGCATAATGAAAATTTCACGGTCTCAGGAATCCACAATATGTACTTATTAAAACCGCATTTTCTCCATTTTTTTACATTTCAAACGTAGTATATCACAAGTTGATTAACCTAAAAACCCAACGTACATATGTATTTTTATCTATTCTTTTAGGTTTCACAATCAAATTTTGAATTTTTTTCCCAAAAAGATGCCAAAACATGAAAAACCGCATTTTCGACGATTTTCTTCAATTCTTGACATTTTTTAGTCAAGAATAGGATGCTTGGCTATTATTGTATACCTATCTGGATCCTTTTAGGTTTTTTTCAGTATGGAAAACTGTAAAAAATTGGAAAACCACAGACTTTTCCAATTTTAGATATTTTTAGAGTGGGATATCATTCATATCTTCGCTCAGGAACTCAATCCATGCATAAGTCAGCCAAGCATTCCTCTACTGATCCAAAAGGTCAAAAATTGAAAAAAGCACTGAAAATACGGTATGCCATTTTATGACAATTTTCTGCACCACAAATCGCAATTATAACAAAGGAACCTGAATATACGCATTGTTGTCAAGTTGTATTATTCAATCTAAAAATGCTAAGAATCGAGAAATAACCGTGTTTTTTCCGCATTATGGAGATTTTACGGAAAAGGAATCGTGATTTTGACATCAGACCTATAAAGAAAATGATAAATGCATTCCCATAGTGGGTTATTGTGTTAGACAAGTATATTTTTTCTGACACAAAACATTGAAAATTTAAGAAGATCCACGAAAATGCGGATTTCCTATTTTCGCAATTTTCCGGGTAACAAATTTTGATAATGTAACCTGGAAGGATGTAATGAAATACAGATGGTATTGAATTTTTGAGTTATCAAACCTATAAGTTTCTATTCTAAAAATTTGTGATCAGTGAAAATGCGGTTTTTCCTATTTATGTAGATTTTGCAAATTTCGGAATTTTCCGGAAAAGAATCATTTTTTAACAACTACGCTGGGTTCTTAAGTTAGCCAGCTGATGATAATCTACGTTTGCAATGCCAAAAATTAGAGAAAATCGGTGAAAATGCGGTTTTTCCGAGCTTTGGCGATTTTCCGTTCAGAAATTTCGTGATTTTGATAGCGGATCTAAAAATAAAGCAAGAAATTACTAATATACAGTGGATTGTTGAAATACCGAAATTCTCACATAACCAAAGTTTCGAAAAAGTATTTCAAAAAACAAAAACTTGAATCTATGTTCCATAAATCTATATAAAATCATGATGGATATAACAGGAAATCACGAATATGCAGTGGATTCTTAAGTTTGCTAGATTCTTGCCTAACCAAACATTCTAGAAAGGATTTCAAAAAAATACTAAATAACTAAAATTGCGCCTGTAATAATTATTTTCGATAGAAATACTTTTTTAAGGTTATGGGCCTCTAGGGATGGCCTATCGATCTGAAGATTTGGCTAAGCTATTATACCTTGATTTGAACACTTCTAAAGTTGAGTAAATATTGAGGTGATAGAAGTTAAAAACCGGTACAATATACGCGACTTTCCCCTAAGGTTTCCTATGAGAAAATTTTGAAAAATCGCTGCGTCTCTGAGATCTGGATAAATTCCCGTTTGTTGCTTGAATCAGGTACTTAGATTTCGAATCTGATGCCTGCTCGTTAATTTTCGACACCAAAGTAGGTCCTAGGTCTTAGTAGGTGTACCAAGTTCCATTTGCTTGCAACAACGACAGACGAAAATTAAAATATCTACCTTTAGACAGCGTCCCACTTCCCCACCTAAATATTTTGAAGACTGGTTATTCTAGAAAAAAATTTGGAACAAAAGTTTACAGGAGTAAAATGATGGTGACCTTAACGACAATGTTTGTGCCTTTCCAAGGTCAAGTAAATATTTTTAATTAAAACCCTTCTTTTAATTTTGTATTTAAAAAGAGAAAGAAAGTTAACGTCTGAACATCACCTTGGCCATGACCATGATCGTTGTACTCAAGGTCATTTCAAGGTTAAATCAAGACATCGAAAACAATTTGCTCTAACAAAAATGTACGACAGCGCACTTGTGAGGTTTTTGGGATAAGTCAAAGCTGACCTTAGACATGACCTTGATCACGGTCAAGGTCAAGTCCAAATTTCGAAAGAAAACCTTTCATTTTTATACCGGAAAATGGAAAAATCAGGATATGTTTCCTCCTAATGTTTTGTTTTCGAAATTTCTCGCAACAAAAATACCTCCTTACCAACTGGAGTGAGAGGTCTTGTTTCTAGGAAAAGTAGCGGCGCCCCTTTGAAGTCCGAACATCAAAGGCCTTGCCGCCAGTGATTTCACTTTTGGTTGTCGGTACACTTTGATGTACAACTACTTACCTGGTCCAGAGAACAATTAAAGGTAAGGTTTATGCCTAAGGGTTGGGATAATCCCGAAACCTTTATTGCTTCTTAATTGCTGGATTTTGGCTAATATAAATAGAGGTTTTCTTTCAGCTTCCTCACTATCTAACCATAACTGGTAAGTTGGCTTCAGAAGTGTTCAAGTTTTACTAATCTGCTGGTGCAAAATATTACTTGGTGAGTAAAATAATATTAATCTCTCTCTAACTTATCATGTGGCGACAAAATAATAAAAATATCCATTTGCTTCGTAGAAATAATTTATTTTTGTTATAAAAAAACATATTATAAAAAAGTACTTACATACTACAATTTAGCTTCAACTCAAAGATATTACATAGATATAACTTAAATTTTAACGACTTGATCATGGTATTACTAATAGAATTAAATCGTGACACTTACTTTTGGTATTCTTTTTAAACGCATAGTAACAAAAATGTTTGCAAAACAAAAAATTTGCTGGGCTTGCGAGTTACCCTTTTAACGGTTCAAGTTTGGAACACACTGTAGAGGAACGACAAAAACAAACAGACTGTTACCTGCAAAACGTTTCCTTCTTTGTCTAATTTTGTATATTTTGCTCTCTTCCGTGGGCCCGGGGTTGAGCAGCCTTTTGCATTAGTAAAGGAAACATCTGAGAATCTGGCCGGAAATATAATTCGGTATTTTGCGTAATCTTAGGACCCTTTTTAACGAATCTCTTGCCAGGCCCAAAATTGCATCAAAATTGTTCAAATAATTTTTTTATAGCAAATTCCATAAATTGTTGTAATTGTAAATAAAAGTTATATGCTAAGTTTTTCATATAATATTGTTTTTTGTCTCAGAAAATTTCTGTCGAATGAGGTTGTATTTTTTCAGTCAAAATGATAGTAACCCATTTTTCTGATTTCTGCGAAAGGTTGGGAAATCTCGAAACTGGAGGTACTACAGACCAAAATATGTGAATTGACCTAAACATACCCTAGACCAAAAGTTGATAATTTGCGAGATACAGGTTGTCAAAGTTACAATTTTATTTTCTATTTTTCCTTATTGCTTGGGAAGTATTTCAGATTTTGGCATGAAACTCAGAGAGATTTTCTAGTATTAGAAACAAGAATCCGTTATTTTATGGTCAAACTTTTAGAGGGCGCCACTTACAGCACTATTTCGGTAAATAATTCATCATAACTTTGTTGTGCTACTCTGTATACAACAACTGACTAAAAAATCTTATTTTCTCGTATTTGGACAACAAAAAAGGTTTACTTATTAGGAGTGTCTAAAGCTAATAGTTTTCGAGATATTTGTTTTTAAAAGTTCCGAAACATTATTTGTACCATGATGATAAAATATTTTTATAACATAATAATCAAGTTGCTTTTGATAATGTTAATGTATACGTTTGATGAATATTCTGATATGCATTTAATGCACGGATTGCCAAGATGTAATGCTTTAAAAACAAATATCTCGATAACTATTATTACAAGTAAACCTTTTTTGTTGTGAGAATACAATAAAATAGGCACTAGCCTTAATCTCTATAGACTATTGAAAGCCTTTGAAAGCATCAATCATAAATTATTACTTGCTAAATTAAAGTGTATCCCTTCATTTTTCGACAGTTACCTTCATCAAAGAACTCTGTGTGTTTTTCTCAATCAAGAAATGTCTCAAGTGACAATAATTCCCTCAGGCGTACCTCAGGGCTCTGTATTGGGGCCACTTCTGTTCCTCATATATACGTTCGACTTGAGCAAAAGTGTTGATAATTCTCATGTCCAGTCATTTGCAGACGATACGCAATTGCTCCATTATTTTAACCCAGATAATGTCAATAATACTACTCAAATTTTACAAAACGATGTTAATAAATTAATTAAATACTCTTTAGATCACAATCTACTTATTAATCCACAAAAATCTAAAATGTTATTATTTTGCGCACAAAGAAAAACATACAATGTAACACAGCTCTTGAACATTCAGATAAATAACCAAATTTTGCAATTTTCTGATGCTGCAAAAATTCTTGGTGTTGTTTTTGATACAAAATTAAGGTTTATTGAACATGTTAAAAGTCTATCACAGAAAACCTACCTATGGCTGTGCACTTTTATAGCAAACAGGTATTTACTAAATTTTAAGTTGCGTAAAAAACTATGTGAAGCATTGGTCATATCTATACTAAATTATTGTAATATCGTGTACTATACTTGTTTAGACAATTTCACTAAAAACGTTATTCAAGTTATTCAAAACAATTGCATACGATTCATTTTTGGCTTACGTAAATTTGATCATGTATCAGCGAAATATCCCGTTCTAAACTGGTTAAAAATTAATGACATGGTCAAGTATCGCTACTATTCAGTTTTTGTTCACAAATTGCTGCTCACGTCAAAACCTTATTACTTGAAGGAAAAAATTTCATTTAATAATGATGTTCACTGTAGAACTCTCAGGGAAAATAATATTAGAATACCCCTGCATACGTCTACGCTTTTTAAACGCAGTTTTTCTTACAATGTTGCTATTATTTATAATGACCTTCCTAAAGTATATAAAGAATTTTCATTACCTGTCTTTCGACAAAAAGTTAAAACATTATTACTCAACCCTCCAAACATATAATTTACGTAATCATTCATTTCTTTTTTATTCCATCTTTAATTCAGATTAATAATTTTTTGGTGCATTTGGGTTTGGAAAGTATGCCTTTTTCCCTTTTTTTAAATTTTACTTTCGATGTAATGAACCAAATCTGTTTGTGGATAGTGTATTCTTTTGAACATCTGCTAGAGACTATATGGTTAAGTGTAAGAGCAGCAGCATGCTAAACTTCGCCATATAAGTCTGACATTTGGCTATACTACAATGTAATTGTGGATAAATAAAGACATCTATTATTATTATTATTTAATGTTATTTTCGGAATTTTCAATGCTGTCAATAGCTTTCTTCAAAAGTTTTGGAAATTCTGATTTCACGATTCAGCCCTATTCCGCATCTTCCATTCCAATAAAATCTTATGCCATTGTTTTTTCATCGGTGCAAAATATGCCACATCTAGAGGCTGTAAGAGGTGAGTTGCGTTGGGTGGAAGGAGTACAAATTGAATGTTATAATTTTGACAGCATTCCAGAACGTGCATAGAAGGGCTGGGTAAGTTGTCTCCTATTAATACTTTTTGCCTGGAAGGTTTCGAAATTAAGGAAGTAAAATCCCGCCAAACCAATCTTGAAAAGTCGGCCTACCAAACCAGCCTGACTTAGTTCGATTGTACATGGTACCATCAGGACCTCCCTCTATCCAGGTTGGATATAGGTAAACAGATTTATAGATAACATATGGGGGTAACAATTTACCTGCAGCTGTTATTGCCATCATAACCGAGGTGCTAGATTGAATCGATTATATTCTCAACCCTCTTCGAACCACGGCGGCATAAAGCTTTGTTTTCCAGAGTCATCTGTCAAATTAGTTTCATCATAATTCACGATATTCATAGGTTCAACTCCCTCTAAAGTCTGTTCCAAATTCTCAAAATAGGATTTTACTACCGCCTTGGTTACATTAGCCCTGTACCTAATTTTGTTTCTACTGACAAAGTTATAAAACCACTCAATCCCAGGCATATTGTCCTTGAACTGGGTTATTTGTTTACCTTTTCTATTAAGGTAATCCTTTACCGAGCATCTTATATCCCAACGACACATAGTAAATCCACACTCTGCAAACTGAGTGATTCCTGCTGCGAACATGTTTTCCTCTTGTTCCGAAAGTTTGGTAGGTGCACCATGTTTTCCAGCTTTTTGCCTCTTGAGTTTGTCGGATAGAGTGGATTTTGGTATTCCATAGTACTCTGAGGCACCTTCTTTTGCTCCGAATGTCCTCCAGAGCCTGCTCCATTTTTTGTGGTTCATAGTTCATATTTTACGCCGATTTTTTTTATAATGCCTAGGCATTGCTGTCCACCTTTACCCCACCTATAGACAATTTTTTACAAATTAATTGATAGAAAAACAACAACAACGAAAATGGAAAAACTTTATGGTGCATATGGCTAGGGATAAACCCCCGCCTCTTTAAGATAGGTAGTTCCGATTGTAATATTTGACATAAATTATGTACAGAGAGATTTTTTACGGTATTTTAATATTTGCAAAACAAACAACTTTTTATAAATGCCGTACCTGTGCTCACAAACAACAACAATCAAGTCGCGTGCTCTATTGATGCTTACTATAGACGTACTGACACGACAGGCGCAAAAAACACTCGCTGTTAGATGCAGAAGTGGGGACATATGAGGGGTTTCCGGGAAAAACAACATTAGTCACTTTTTGTTGAAATTGAGTTGGCAACGCTGTTGTGTTCTTCATGTTTCAATGCTGCTTTCTGATTTTTAAGTTTCCCGTCAAAAGCACATATCTCCGTATGAAATGCGTTTAAAGAATCGTCGGTTCCATAAGAACGACATTAGTCAACATAGGTTTATCAAATTATATTAAAAAACCTGAACATACAATGTTTTATAAAAGGTTGTTAAATACTCATAAACAAGATACTGAAGGCAATAATGCAGAAATAGACAATGACGACAGCAGCAGTGGAAATAGTGACATAGAATAGAAATATTGTTATACAGTTAGAATACTTTTGAAGAATATGTTTTTTTCCTGAAATACTTTTAGAATACTTTTGGGGAATATGTTGTTTTTTTTCTGAAACACTTAAGTTTCGTTTCAATAAATATAAATATAAAAAATATTCTTGGTTAACAGGCCTCTTTCTAAAAAAATCCTAAAAAACAACATTTGTCACCACGTTTTTGTATTTTTTTTTATTCACAAATCCGTCTTTTTTCTTGAAATACACCTTAAAATATATAAGATGCCTTCTTACATGGCCTTAACACTAAAAAAATGCGTTTCCCAGCAGTATAAGCAACAAAATCAGTTTTTGTTAATTTGCCACATTTTTTGTTTTCTGACAAATGTTTTTCCCAGAAACCCCTCATATGTACTTGTGTCCAAATATGGTTTGTTAAACATCTTTTTATTTCTCTAAATATTGTGTCATTTAATCATATGTATTCATGCCTTATATATGAGTAAATGACAGATAAACTTTTAAGTTTTTGGCCAGAATCAGTAAGATGACCCATATACAGGGTGTTTCAGTTTATTGTTGCATAACTTTAAGATTCAATAGAACTTTTGAAATTAATGCATAAAGTCTATATAAACATGGGTCGAAAAATGCGTGGCTTCCGAAATACAGGGTGTTTAAATTTACTTTTTAAAATAGTTTTTTTTTAAATATTTCGAACAATATTTGATGTATAACAGTGAAAATTGGTATACAAGGGTTTTTTGGTACGACAAAACGAACCGCTCTCTACTGTACCTGTAGTGTATTAAAATGACCAAAAATTTTTTCTTAGTGCAATTTTTTGCTTTTTGAATAAAGAAACTGATTATTCGCACCTTTCTGCATAAAAAAGCTCTTTTGTGAGTTTTCGTTATAGTTAGCCGTTTTTGAGATATTTCGATTTTTAAGGTTCGATGCATTTTTAATTATTTATTGGAAAATAATATTTTTTTTTACATTTTCGATTTGGGCATTACAGGTAATTAAGATGATCGTTTAGATTGTGTTTTTAAACACAGCAATAATTTCTAACTACACAAATTGAATATCCGCTAACTCTTGATTGGAAAATAAAAATGGCATTTTTATAAAAAAAAAACAGGTAAAAGAAACTAAATTTCGTGCATTCACAATTGCAAAAAAACGTTTCAGGCTTCAACAGACAACAAAACTAACTGTCAACTAATTGACGTTTAACCTTATTCTGCTTTCAATTTCAAAAATATTTGCAGGCACAGAATACTTCTAAAAATTATCGAGATACTGACTTTTTAACGTTATTTTATCATAAATAATTAAAAATGCCTCGAACCATAAATATCTAAATATCTCAAAAACGGCTAACTATAACGAAAATTCACAAGAGACCTTTTTTCTGTTGAAAAGTGCGAAGAATCAGTTTTTTTATTCAAAGAGCAAAAAATTGCACTAAGAAAAATTTTTCTGTCATTTTAATACACTACAGGTACAGTAGAGAGCGCCCTCTAGGGGCTACAGTAAAACTAAGTCCATGGTTCGTTTTTTCGTACCAAAAAACCCTTGTATACCAATTTTCACTGTTATACATCAAATATTGTTCGAAATATTTAAAAAAAACTATTTTAGAAAGTAAATTTAAACACCCTGTATTTCGGAAGCCACACATTTTTCGACCCTTGTTTATATAGACTTTATGCATTAATTTTAAAAGTTCTATCGAATCTTAAAGTTATGCAACAATAAACTGAAACACCCTGTATATTCCGAATCAGAAAAATGGACATTTTCCTTAAAAATATAGCGTCTTCCACTTAAAAAATACAACTTTAATCGATAGCACTTTTCTGTGACAAAAAACAGATCCTTTTGGACCTGGAAGGTCATAATATAGCCGTACAAGTCGTATAACATCCAAGAAACACATGTCATTTTAGAAATTTTGCTTAGGAAGTAAAACATCTCCAGAAATTTAAGAAGTATAAAGAAACATCATTTTCAAATATATTTAAATATCACACAGCACTGAGTTGACTAAAATGGATACTGGAATTGAACGTAACAGACATCACATAGTCCTCCATGCTTGTTTGGCACCGAAATCAAAGCCATGAGTTACTGTTTACTGTCACAACGTTTCGGCTATTTGATAATCAGACAAACATGGAAGACCATCCATGAAATCCACAGGATAAGTTTTGGGAGTAATTTTGCAATATATTAAAAAGGATAAAAATATTATAAGAATAATAGGGATTATGAAATTCAATGGTCAAAAAAATATTGGCACAGTAACAAAAACAAACAAGTAAATAAGTGTTAATACATTTTTTACTTTGTTATCATCCCATTTGCATTATGGCTTGAAGCCTTTGTGGCACGTTTTTTGTCCAATTTCGGGCCTTCAGATCCAGCAAGTACCACAAATTTCTTTATCCCTAGATTGCGGCGGAGTTTTGAGTTGTGCAGGAACATTGTTAAGTAGCCACTCCATTGTTTCAGTGGCGATGTGCTTAGGATCGTTAATGCTTCTGAAAGACAAACGTATTACTGACCCTCATTTTTCAAATACTACTGCACAAGCTACTGCGCAAATTATCAGCAAACTTATTTATTTGTTTATTTTTGGTTACTGGCGAAGAAATATTGTAACCGCGAAAATATTCGAAAACGAGTTACGTTTTTTGACATCACTAAAAACCATATTACTCATTTCCGTCGATATGTCTGTCAATCTGTCGGTCTGTCCGCTAATCTTATAACCGCCTAAAACTTGAAAAGTACCTCTCGAATTTCGATGAAAATTTTACAGATTGTTACTACTATGCCAGGGACACAAAAGCTTTGTAGGTTTTGAAAATATGTTCAGTGGCGGCAGAGAAAAGGCTAAAAACGGAAAACAATGAAAATCGCACAAACATCGTTTTTTGACATTTCAGAAAATACTGATCATTTAAAAAAAAATTAGAGGTGAAAACTTAGGGATAGAGTTTGTGGGAGACCGAGTGTCTGTCTCAATTTTTTGATGTTAGTGCGTTTATTCGACACCAGCCTTGGTAATTCTACGCACCTATTAAACATATTTTGCATATCATAGATTTTTCCGTACGTTAGCCCTTTTTAATTTGCTCAATCTAGTGCCATCAGAAATTACAATTTGGATGTTAGTTTTCAAGCAAATATAGTAAAAAAGATCATATTTTCATTATTAAGTCCCGTATCGTCAGTCGTCCCTACAATTGTAGGGCGCGTTTATGGCCTCCTTGATTGTCATACTGCTTTCTCTCCTTCAAAAATATCTAGCTTACACTTGTCCCGTGTCAGCGTCAGCGCTCTCCTATTGTAAAGATATGTTTTCTTTTTAAATTGTAGGAAATTTCAGGCTGATAAAACATGATATAACTCAAAAGCAAGCACAATTTGATGCAAATAGATGTTTGTGACATAACCTCAAAATAGAGCGCTGACACGGAGAAGTAGAAAACTATGACAATCAAGGAGGCCATAAAGGCGCCCTACAATTGTAGGGACGATTGACGATAAGGGCCTAAGATTCAAGAAAATAATGACTTTCTTGACTCACTGACTCAAAC